GCTTTAAGCAGATTACAGATAATGTGGTTGGCATATTAATCCAGAGCTCTTCCTGGATGTTGACAACAATTTCTAGACCACTGTTCTGTGTTTCCTTAAGAACTTCCTGTTTGGGATTTTATTGGGTATGAGTAGATATTATTTGGGGGTTTATGTTCCCTTTTCCTAAAAAAAAAAAAAAACAAACCCCAAAACAACAACAAAAAGAAACCAACAAAAAAAACAAAATAAAACAGAAAACCCCCCAAAAAACCAAACCCCAAAACCCCAGAAAAACCCAAACGTGGAAACCCAAAACTTTTGAGGAAAAAATAAAACTCTAAACCACAGCAAATTTATCTGAGTTGGCAAGAATTTGTTTTTAAGGTTGATGTGTCCCTTCCAACCCTAACCATTCTGTGATTCTGTGTCTATATCCTCTAAAAATGCAAACAAAAGCCGCACTGTGGGAAGTAGCATTTATACCACTGGCTCTGGAGTGTAGCTTGGGACTTCTGCAGCCCTGGCTTGGTTTTTCTCTGGAACATCAGCAGCTAGTGTATATATGGAGATATATGTTTAGTTTGTTGTTTATGTCTCTTGTCATGTGCTGCCCCAGATGTAGCTTATTGCTAGTCTGGGAGATCATGGTAGGATTATATTTCTAAGATAGAACTTGGTTCAAGGTGTGTGATGATTCATAAGAAATGCATGGGAGTCCTTGAGGAGTTCTGTGATCCAATACTTCCGCACTTGTTTAAATGGATTAAAGCTTAGGTCAGACACTACTGTGCTCTACTTTTTGTCTGAGTAGGCCAGTACTTCAACACACTACTGGACCTCACGTGTGTCCTGTAGGCTGGGGCTGGATTAGTTGTCCTGGTTTAACAGAAAAGTTCTGCAGATTGCAGCTCGATCACCCCAGTGTCTGTTTTCTAAACTTCAAATTTTAATGACAACCCCCCAATTAAATTATAATTACTTACTATTATACACAAATTTAAGCCTGAAGATTGTTCACCTACTCTGTAGCTGTGGGTTTAGTTTTGTGCATATTTGTTACACCAGGCGTGTCCCAGTTATTTTATGTTGAAAAGTCCTTGGTGGATTGTTTGTGACTTTTTTTTTTTTAAGGAAAATGAGCTGTGCAGTTAAGTTGTGCTGTGTAAGTTATTGTCTGCTTCCTGTACTTGTCAAGTTTCGAAACAATTTGTGTTCGAGTATCTTGTGATTTTGGTAAAATACCTGTCATACTGCTCTCTGAAGTAGTGATTACTCGCATTTTGTAGATGAGGAGTTCAGGCAGATCAAGTAACATGTCTGTGCTAGAGCTAGAAATTCATCCTGATCCCTCTAAGTCCTTGGCTGGCAGCCTAACCACTTAGACTTCAGTTCCCCTAAGATAAAGGCATCCAAAAACCGTTTTAAGCTGTATTTAAGCCCTCTGACATGCTGTAAGAAACAATACAGCTTTTGGCTTCTTATCTTTCTGCTATTTTGTGGCACTCTGTTGAGGGTCTGCAAGGGGATGAACAGGTCTCTTGATTCCTGCTCAAACCCGTGTGTAAGCTGGAAGCTGTACGTACTGTGCATCTCTACGTCATTCACTTCTTAGATGAAATAGGGTTTGTGTCTATAAATTATAATTATATCAATTTTCAACATTGCCCACTTATTCTACATTTAATTTTTTTAACCTTAATGCTTTATATATAATAAAGATTTTGTGAATAAGGAACTGCTGCAATTGCGCAGGAATGTGTTCATTCATCCTGTTAAATCTGTTTTGTTGTTGGTGTTCCTTGAATTGATCTCTGTTACCCTCTGGTGCTGCAGCTGTTCCTAAAAAAGGACGTGTGGTTTCCTGCGTAGTAGATTGCATAATGTTGGCAAGGGGGAACGTGATACAATGCCACATTAAAGCAAATGTTGCTCATGTAATTTTATGACATACAGTCTTTAATACTCTTATGTGAAGTGATATGGTTATGAAGAGTGTAAGCTTTATTTTCTTTCACTTGAATCATGAAAAGCATAATTTGCCTCATTTAAAAAAATAAAATAAATTTCATCCCCCCCAGCCACCCACTTCGAATATGCCTTTTGTACAAATGGTAGTGATGAGTTTGGTTGCTTAAGGCTACATTGCATGTGCTCAATCAGCCTGACTGCTAACCAACTGGAGTGGTACCCCATGAGCAGAGCACAGTCCTGTGATGCGTGGTAAGGATTTGACCTGACAGTTTTACAGTCATGCAGCACATAGAGGCTTAGAGCAACAAAAAGGGGCACGAGGGACTGCGTGACAGAGACCTGTGCTGTTTCTGCTGCCTCTGCAGAGAAAAATGTGTAATGCTCTTGTCAAGGAAAACTGAAAAGCTATTTTCTTTCTCTTTTTGTCTCTCCTGCATTACTTGGGACTGGCTAGATGTGGAGCCATCTGTATTTTTACTTTGTCAAAGACACTGACAAACCAACTGTGGCTTTGTGAGGGAAATGTATTACCTTTATAGTAATATCTTTATAGTAACTTTATAGTAATTTATTACTCTTGGAAGCCATTTGGTTTGTCTTCTGTAGGTTATTTTGCTTTTCAAAACGAAGATGCTTGCATTTTGGACTGTTGAACTACTTCCTTATGTTCTGCTGTAGATTGGCATGGGACATTCTCCTTTCATTACCTGTTTAATGTCATTTGATAACTTTCTGTGTATAGTTACTGATTTCTTCGGCGTTCTCATGCACTTAGTGTGAAATATTTCTGATCTCATCAATGCTGAGACAAATTACATCACACAAGTGTTTCAGAGCTTGTCACCTTACATGTCTAATCTGCTGCATGGTACAAATGGTTATTTAGCAAGGATGCTGAGTAGGTTTTCTTTGGCTCAATCTTGAAGGTTGCTCTGTATTGGTTTTTTCTGCATAACCTGCTCTCAGTAAATGGTACAAGATTAAAAATTAAAAGTCACTAATGTAAGTGAGTTGGGAGTGGATAAAATCAAAGTGTGCTATATGAAAGTGTTAAATAACCCAAACAGCTAAACAGAAAGGAGGTCCTTGAATGAATTTGACGGTAATTCAATTAATTTATTAATTAGCAGAAAAGAAGTTTCTGTCTTTTTTGCTTATAAGCGAAGATACGGTTGTTGCTTTTGTTTTCCTAGTGATGTTGCAGTTGGAACTCAGATAATCTACTGTATTTCTTATCGCATGTTTTCTTCTTTGGTCCTGTGTTATTTTATTCTGAAAAAATGTCAGGAATTATTACCTAGAGGCTTTCAGTTACACTTTGCGGCTTTCTTGTCTCTTGTCATGTAATAACGAAAGCTCAGCTCAATTTGTCTGTTATTCTCAGAGTTATCCAAGCACTTAGGTATTTCTTTAATAGCGGAGGGGGTTTCCCCTTTCTGCCAGTATACAGAAAATTAAATTTTGTGGTTTTCATGTGTCTGTGTTCCCTTAAGGCAGAATTTATCTGGCCTGTTGCAGCTATCCGGGTCCTAAATCCTCATCCTGTTGTAGAAGCAGTGACATGTCATCTCACGCTTCCCCTCTCTTCTTCTTGCAACATACTTATATCAAGCTAATGTGTTTGTGTACTACAGTATTGCCGGTGTGTTTCAGAACTGTAATATGGGTGGCTAAACCATATCTGCTAGAGATGAGGAGACCAGCAGTGGATGAACTGCTTCCCTGGCAGCAGCTCCTCTGGCTGCTGTGCGATGCTGTTGCATTCAAAGGCATGCACCCCTCACCTTTGGCTCTTGAAGTCCCTTCACTTGCCAGCAGGAGGAGCAAGTGGAGTTGGCTGGTGTCAGGTATCGCTTGCATGCTTCTGCCCTCTTAGCAAGGGCAACACCTGGAAGGCGGAAAGAAGCAGGTGGAGAATTAAGAGATGCAGCAAAGCATCTGAAAGGGGCAGTGAGCAATAGCAGGAGGAATGTAAGAGACTGGATGAGAAGGCAAGAGAAAATACAAATAACAGATAAGGAGAAGGAATGGGCTGAATTTGAAAGGAAATTGCTGTGGGGACAATATCTGAACGATAGCATTCATGGAAAGCATTAGTGTTTTCATCAACAAAAGCATTAAAGCTAGCAGTTGTAAATGCCAATGAAGTCATGTCAAAGTTTGTTTTTCAATTTTAATAGAAAAAAAAATCACTTTTATAGAAGGGGCAGCCTCATCTATTTAAGCAACTTAATAGTAGTATATTATTGCTGTTAAAGCTTTTAAAATGCAGACTTTTTAATTGCTACTGGCTAAGTCAAAATAAAAACTTTTGAATTTGATTTCCCTGTAGAACACTGAATGGTGGATTAAAGGGAGGGGACTGGAGATAAAGGGCAAAAAATCATTGGAAACTAGGATTTAAAATAATTAAAAAAATCTTTTAAAAGACTCCATAGGGGAGACTAGGAGTTGTAAATACCCTATGAAAAGCTTTGTGGTTTTGAGAGTTGGGTGATGATTTCCTGGGAGCTGAGTGGAACAGATCAAGAGATCCTTGTGTTCTTCCAGAACAGGTTCTTGTGAAATTGTGGTAGCTGATGCTTGCAAGAGTTTGGGCTGTAGCTTGAAAGGAGCTGAGGAGTCTGTTTCTGTCTATAATTTTATAGACCTGGAAGAGCCTTAGGTGAAGAGCACTCAGTGGATTCCAGGAGCTCTGTTCATCTTGATTTGATACCACTTTGACAAGGAAAACTTGAATCTAAGAGCTTTCAAGGAGCTATCTGACATGTTTGGGTCTAGGGCAATCTGTGGGCTAAATCCATCCTTTTCTGCTTATAAACAGAGGTTGGGTTCATTTATTGTTTTACAGACTGGGTGTTAATGGGCACCATCCTAACAAAATGCCTGGAGGTGTTCTCCTTTCTGACTTGGATGTAGAGGGCTATGGAGGGCAGTGGGAGGCGGGTGTTCAGCAGTCTTAGTTATATGGTTAGTAGGAATCTGTGATAAACTGTGCATTGTATCTCTCAAAATACCTACAGTAATGTTGCTTATTTCTCAAAAAGATGTCCTTCCCTGTGGATACGTTGAATGGCTATAGTCATGAGGACTTGGAGAGCTCAGCAGAGAAATACTTGGCTGACCTACAGTGTAGGAATCCAAACCATCATGAATTCTTTTCTCTGCCAGACCGCAGGAAGGTAAGAACCAGCAAATACCTTAGTCCCAGTTTTCTTGATATACTAGTAGATTTAAAAGATTTACAATATCCAGTCCATAACTATTGAATTACATAATTATTTTAGCAAAGCTGTTGTATTTTCCAAATTCGTGTTTGTGTTAAGCTCTACTTTTTTTCATTCTGTAATTGGGTTTAAATCTGGACATCAGTGACTATTTGCTGCTTCTAGGCAATGGATCTGTTTGCATTACATAGTTTTTTAAAACACTTAAAATTTCAACTAGTGAGTCAAACACTTGCCTAAAAAGCACTTACTCACACAGTCACAAAAATCTATCATCATATCTAAGGGGTTCATGATTTACTGAAGCTAACTGGCTCCTTCAGTGTTCTTCATGGTTGGGTTCAGTTCTTGATCAGGAAGTTTTGCTACTTTCAGAGATGATTCCTTTCTTTTTATCTGAAATGTTCCCTGCTGTTGTTTGGAGTTCTAGCAGAGGCTGGCTGTAGCACTTTGTGTTTTAAACACTTATCCATTGCGTCATAAGTTGGTCAATGTTGGTTCTGTCTAGATGAACATTTCTATTAGAACTAGTACCGATAAAAGCAATGGTGTGTAACTTTAATGAATAATAAGTGAGCTGAGAGGATTCTCTGGGGGAACAAAAGGTCAATGCTGCAAATTCCTTGGCAGAAGCAGGATCTGAAGTACTTTCCTGCATTTCTGCAGATGCTGTATGCCTAAATATTTGTATTAACATCCTTGTTTGTGGCATAGTATGTAGTAATCTTCTTAACGTGGGTAAGCAAGTCTATTTACCACATCATTAATGTCTGTCTAGTTTGTATGCATTAATTAAATATTGAAAACGTGAATTTAAATATCAAAACGCATTTCCACAAAGGTACTCCAGTCCCGAAAGGTGGATTGATTTTACCCTTCTCATGTTGTTCCTGAGGGGAAATCAAGCAGACAATGTTGGAATTTCTAAAATGTGTGCAATTTCATGGAAGAAAAACATTTTGAATCTAGCCTTCCCACCTTAGCACATTAGGGCTTGTGTTAACGAACAGCACTTTCACTGTGCCAGTGTTTCTGTGCTTAACTGCCTGCCTTGTTCTTCTGTTGGCTTTGACAGCTTTCGTAGCTGGGACAGTGAACATACTGCTGGCTCTTTGCACACCTTACTTCAGTTGTGCGCATAAATGCAAATTGCTGACAGCAGAGCGCTGTGAATTACTGTAGCTAAATCTGCCAGAGCTTGAGAGTCAGAGCTACTTGTAATGTAGTCTGTAGTTAGGAAGAAATGTCTAAAGTAAGGGCTGGGGTCTGATGTGTGTCCTTGACATTTTACAGTTAACTGTTAAGCGCTCAGTTTTCAACATTTGTCTTGCCTACCCTGCTAAACATTGTTTGTATATTTTGCTAATGTTGTTTTAGCAAGATTCTATTGAGGCATTGTACACTCTTGTTTCAGATTCCTATTAGATTGTCAACTGTGGGCTTCGTTCCTCTTTATGGTGAAGAACAGACACACAAAATTCTTGCTTTGTTTGCACCAGGAGACTTGCTCACAGGTTTCATTTTAAGATTTTAATCTCTGTTGCTGTTTGGTGTTTTTTTTTTTTTCTGTGACAAATCCATGTAAGCAGGCCCTTGCTCATTCCATGCTAGTGTAGCTCTTAACTTTGCCACTTTTGCATTTGTTGTTCACTGCGTTCTTGTTCCCATACTATGATTTTTGTTGTGGATTCATGTACTCAAGTGATAGAACTTTGCATGCTACTTAGAGTAGAACTGGACCCATTGAATTCAGAAGATAGGTGGCAAAATAACAAGGTGCTCATCTGAATCCAAGTACAACATGTATCTCTTGATCTCTTTATGTACACCTCACCTCTCCAAAAGGAATTTATTGAGCATTCATAGAACCCATTTATTTGCCCATGAATTTAGATGCTCTTTATTAGCAGTGATTGATCAGCATCAAGTGTAAATTTGTCCTTAGCTTTAGGTCCTAAAATAGCTCTGACTAAGGTGACATCTCACTGGTTTGGGGTTTTTTTTTCCTCCCTTTCTCCCTTCCCATCCACTCTTCCATGTTTCCTCCTCTTTCCATTTAATGCCATGTATAGGATTGCCAAGTTTGCCGCAAATGCCCATAGATCAAACTCTTCCTGATTGCTAATTGCATGACCATCAGCCTTTTTACATTAATCTCCCTAAAACTTGCACAGTTTCAATATCAATATCTGTTAGTGACCCAAAACTAAAGTACACGTATGAATGAGAGTCCTCTTGGCATGCCCAGTTTTTAGTGAAAGGAGGTGCTAGAACACAGTGAAGGATAGTGCTTATGCCTGAGAAACAGTTCCTGTATTTGATACTGCACAAAATCTGCATTTGGTTTTATTGTTCTCAGTTTTCAAACAAGTCTTAGACTAGGGAGTTTTGCATATGGGAGGATGTATAGCACCACATAGGTAAGAGCAGCATTAATATAGTGCCAACTGAAGATGCTTAGCTTGGTTTTTAGGTGTTATTTCTAATTGTTTAGCAGCTTGAATGAATGTTTCTTTTGAAATGGTGAGAATCGCTAACTTTTTATTTCCCCTTGTTTCTTTCAAGCTGTAGCCCTGTATCTTGCTGGCCAGTGGTGGTCAATTGATGACATTTTGAGAACATCTATCCCTGCTAGACAGGGGCTTCATCAGGTAAAGCTCACCAACATTCACCTAGCAATTATTCTTATCCCTCAGGATAATGGCAAGTAATAGCAAATAGCTAGTGTGTGAGATGTTATGTTTTCATTTCTGAATGAAATTACTTGTCTGTCTCATGTCAAAAGCAAGATCAATGGGAAATAGAAGAATAGATACTAGGGGGAAGGGACCTTGGTTGTGAAGGTAGTATCTAGAGCAAGAGTGACTCTCTTACAGCAGCTTCATATGTAAGCTATTCAGATGTTAATGATGTTAAGAGCTTCTTCTTTACTCTGTAGAGCATCCTATATTTGGTTGTATTTAAATGTGTTAGTAGAGTGGTGCATTGTACCTGTTGGTCTTATCAGGAGACTAGTAATGTAAAAAAATTTTTGGAAACCTGTTTGATAGAGGCAACTTGGAGGTGGTGGCTTGCAGTGGCAATAGATGAAGTTTGGGAAAGTAAGTTGCCTGGTATCTGCTTTATTGCTCATCATTGACCTTTGTTACTATTACTGACACCTATGTAACATGGAGTTTTGGGGGTTTTTTTTTCCAAAACTGGAAATCTGTATTTTTCCAGGGCTGTAATTTATATCTAGCTGCTCTTGGAATCTGAGTTCTCATCTTTGATTTTTGTATTTTTTTAATTTACTGTAGAGAATTTGGTACGTAGCCTTGTCTTCCATGTCCTCCTTAATGGTAGGATGGTGGTTAAATCAGGAAAGCTGAATCTTTCCAGGTACAGTAGCTGAGACTCTGGGCATTGGGAAGAGAGCGTGGTTCCTCTGTTCTTCCTTCACAGTGGATAGATAGTGGTGGACTTATATTTCATGTGTGAAAGGAACCCTGCAGGACAGAGAAAAAGGATATTGAGTTCCTTGTTTCATGCTACAGAAACTGTTGTACTAGTTCTTCCACTGCATCACGTCCTGTTGTCTGCCACTCTGTCAGCAGTGACTGAGAGTGCCAAGTCCAGCTACCCTGTGAGGCTCATCATTTCCCCTTTGTATGACTCCATTTACCTGCTAGCATGGGAATTATGAGGCTGGTGTACTACTATAGTTTGTGTGTTTCTTAAATCCAAAAGTACTTTTGAGTTAAAATAAAATTCCACCCACCGCCCCACTCCCCACACTTCTCAGCTTTTACCCATTGGATTAGCAGTGACACTGAAGTTGTGAAACATCCTTTGTCTGTGGTAGTGCTTTGTACTTAACCTATTGCTATGGCTTCTGAGCATCTCCTTGCCCTGAAACGAACCTCGGAGCTTCATCCTGCTTTAGCACTTACGGCTTCTCTTGACTCCATCTGCAGCTGTGCTAACTGGTGATTTTGAAAAACAAGGTCCCTGATGTGTAAGTATTAACTAATCTGACCTCTCTTTTTAAATGTGTTTCTGTAGGTGAAGACTCTTGGAGAGAGGGTTGTTCTTTATGTTCTGAATCGAATTATCTATCGGACGCAAGAAATGGAAAGACATGAGGTCCCATTTCTCTGTCATGGTAGCAATGACTATGCTAAGATCATGTGGGAAAAAGGAGAGGCTATTGGGTTCTATTCTGTTAAACCTACAGGTAAAACACTCGAGTGTTGTGGGATTTGGGGATTGAGGGGGTGAGGTAGGGAGTTTATTTGAAGAATGTTGTGTTTAGTAGACTTTACAAGCCTTGTAGGCCTAATGAGTTGGTGTTTTCCTGAAATCATAAGAGGTCAGATTGCTGTTAAAATTTCTAGCTTAAATGCTTATGTGCTTTAGCAATCTAAGAAAGTTCTTAGATTTATCCATGTTCTACAAAATATATTTAAAACTGTAGAACTGAGGTATACCCAAAAGCTTTTTTTTCTTTTTTCTGTAGAACAATTGTTTACAGTTGGATTGGGCTGTGCTTGTTTTCTTGATGTTGCTGGTTTTGGGTTTTTGTCTTTTTTTGGCCTAGCTCCAGAATGCAGAGATACTCTTTACCTGAAGTAACTGTCGAATCAGATGTCATTATCGCTGTCATGGTTTAACACCAGCTGGCAACTAGGAGCATGCAGCCATTCCGTCACGCCTCCCTCTGCCCCCCCTTACAGGACAGGGAGAAGAGGGAGGAGAAAAGAGGGGGGCAAAAAAAACCCCACCTCATGGGTTGAGATAAAGGCAGTTTAGTAGAACAGAATGGGAGAGAAAATAATAATAGTAGTAATAATGGTAAACATACAAATTAGTGATGCCGTACAATTCCTCTCATCACCCAATGATCAATTGCTGAGCCTGTCTTGAGCAGCGATTGCAGATTCCTGCCCCTGGCCAACCCCCATTTATATACTGAATGTAATGTCTATGGTATGGAATATTCCTTTGGCCAGCTTGTCCTGTCTATGCTCCCTCTCAGCTTCTATGGAAAGATGAAGAAGTCCTTGACTTAATATGAACATTACTTAGCAACAGCTAAAAAAATATGTGTTACCAATATTATTATCATGCTAAATGCAAAACACAGCAGCTACTAGGATGAAAATTAGCTCTGTCCCAGCTGAAACCAGGATAATGACCTAAACATTATGAAGCCTTATGAATGTTATGAAGGTCAACAAGGACAAGTGTTGGCACCTGGGAAAACATAATCCAGGAGTGCAGCACAGGCTGGGATCTGCCTGGGTGGGGAGTAGCTCTGTGGAAAGGGACCTCTGGGGCTCCTGGTGGACAACAAGCTCAATATGAGTGAACAGCGTGCTGCTGCAGCAGAGAAAGCCAAGAGGATGCTGGCCTGCATCAACAAGGGCATCACCAGCATAGATAAAGAAGTCATTGTCCCACTCTAGTCAGTGCTTGTCAGGCCACACCTGGAGTGCTGCATTCAGTTTTGGTCCCTGCTATGCAAAAAATATGTGGACAAGCTGGAGAGGGTCCCGAGAAGGGCGAAAAAGATGATCAGAGGTCTGGGAAGCCTGCCATGTGAGGAAAGGCTGAGAACTGTGTGTGTTCAGCCTTGAGAAAAGAAGGCTTAGGGGAGACCTTATCACCATGTTCCAGTATTTAAAGGGTGGCTACAAAGAAGATGGAGACTCCCTTTTTGCAGGGAGTCACATGGAGAAGATGAAGGGTAAGGGGTACAAGTTACCCCTGGGGAGATTCGGATTGGACACAACAGGAGAATTTTTCACACTTGAGAACAATCAGCCATTGGAATAATCTCCCCGGATAAATGGATTCCCCAACATCAGTCACTTTTAAGATTCAGCTGGACAGGGTGCTGGGCTATCTTCTCTAGACTGCTTTTGCCAAGAAAGGTTAGACCAGGTGATTCTTGAGGTCCCTTCCAACCTGGTATTCTATGATTTTATAGCATAACAGCATGGAAACTTCATTCACAGGCATAAGATTCAGTTACACCTGGTTATAACAAAAAGAGATTTACTTTCCTCCCATGCATGCATTCCGTCAGAGATTACTATTGAGCTGGCAATTTTATGTTACTAATATTACAGACTCTGTTTCTGGTTTTTTAAAGCATTATAATTTCTCTTTAGTTATTTTGGAATTAATGGTGTTTTTCATTTAATGTTGAATAAAATTTAGTGTTTGGGTAGAATATTTAGCACATTGTTAGCACTCTGTAGAACATCAGTATTTGGATCAAGGAGAAAGAGTCTGGCATTTTTGTTTCCTTTCTAGAGGGGGTTAACTAATTCAGGATTAATGATGGTACTGGAGGCTTGCTGGAGGCTTCCCCCATCTAACATACATGTATGCCTTTGCAAACTGTTAAAAATAAAATAAACTGTCTGGGTCACTGACCTATTCTGGTCTGGCACTCAAGATGGGAAAGCAACCAGCTAGTTTGTTCTGATTATCTTTGTGTTTTTTCTTTAAAAAAAAATGCTTTGTATAGTTTGTATAAGTCTCAGTATTATTTTTAATGTCAAAATTGCTGTAGTGTGGTGGTCGCAAAGTAGTATGTACATTGCAGTGTGTTTTCTTGTGGCCTTATAGAGCTGGAAGTTAGTAGTGGTTCTATTTTTAGCCTAGAATAGGCATGCTTCTTTATGCGGCACTTACAATTGCACGAGTATAGCAAAACTTATTTCTCATGATGCCCTCTCATTTACATGTCCTGAGTTGGCAAACACTGAAGGCTACTCTTTCTAGGCATTATCAATATTTTACCCACATTTGATTGTGTGCTGCATTCTCTGAATAAGTAGTCTACATGGAGAAAGACAGCTGTGGAAACAGGTGGTGAGGAAAAGAGTGGTGGAGCTTGACTGGTATCCCAAAGGGTACCCAAGTAATGTAACCTCTCTGCCCATGTTTTTCTTGCTTAAAAATGAAGCTAAATATATTTCTTGGTCTTAAAAGTATAAGGTTGCAAAGACTAATTGTGTGGTATAGACATCTGTATGCTTCTCTTTGCCCCTGTTAGAGGAAATTTTTTGGCATAGTTCACACTGACTCACAAAATGGGGGCCTGAAAATGGATTGGATAGTTAGTGGGCTATCTTAATGCCATTATATGGCATCCCTTTGTCACCACTGAGTCCATAGCTACCTTTTGAATCCCTGATACTGAAGTACTTATGTGTTGTAACTGACTGTTTCATCTCTGTTTAATTCGGGATAATGTGTTCTTTATGGGGGAATTCCAGTGTAAAGCGTCCTAGGATTTTTTTGTGATTTCACTTAAAAAATTGGAATTATTGTTTCAATCTTTAAGCAAGAGCTGAGTTGCACTCTTCATGGTTGTCCTGAGGAGCAATGTAACCTACATAAAAGTGCAATTCAGGAATTTTATTGTCTCCTTTTTCCTCCTCCCTCTCTCAGCTTCATTTTTAGTATAGTTTTCCTATGGAATTGTATAGTGAGATTTCAAAGTGAGCCTTTCCTCTCTACCTCTGCTATTCTTTTCTGGTACTACATATTTTTTCTAACATATTAACCTATTGATATATCTTGGCAATGTTATGAAGCTTGCCTAAAGAACCAATAAATGGCTGATAGCAATTATGTATTTTTAATGAATGTTATAAATTATTTTTATAATTTTTCATGCAATTTTACATGGGTAGTAGTTTGGTGCTGCAGCCTGTCAGTGCTGAAGTACTGATGGATATTTTTTCTCCTCCTATTATTTCAGGAAGTGCTTGTAACTCTTGTCGTGATCAGAGTTATAAGCTGCCAGTGCTGGACACAGTGTTTGTAAGGAAAAAACATCGTGAGAAGGACTCTGGGCTAATCATATTGGAAGACTTTGTGAAATCCTTTACTGAAGAAGCTCTTGGCCTGCGATACCCACTGTCATTCTTCATGTACACAGGCAAGCACTTTAATTTATTCTTCTGTTCTTCTTTGTGCTTTCTTTACATGTCCAAACGAGCGCTGTCATTCAAGTTCCATGTTTGTGGCTGTGTGCTCAGTTTTTGTATTCAATGTTCTGCTCTTCACTGAAGCTTAAAAATTCTGATTTGTTTAAGGTGAAGTAGTTCCTGATTAGATTTTTAATCCTCTGCATGATATTAGATTACGGGGTCTCTGTTGGCTTTCTGCTACTGTGAAGTTTGCCATTGTATCCCCCCCAAGCCTCCAGAAAGGGCTGATGCATTTCTGTGTAGGATCTAATGTATATCTTCTTTGTAGCACCTTTTTCTTGTTGGCTCCTAAGCCTCGTAAGGTCCTTTAATTCATGCTTTCTCAGAATGTCAAATGGACATACTAGGCTATGTTTTAACTTGGGTATAAGAACGCACAGGTCTAATGTGTAAGGAACACACATCTCTTGAATTAGAAACCCAAGAGGGTTATGTCATCTAGGAAATGACACACATTCTGGAAACAATGTTGCTCAGGACTATGTTCAGGCAAGAAGCACATTTCCTTTGCCCTGTTTCTCAAGGCTTATCTTAACTCTTAGGGCATCTGCCAGCCTTCTTTCTATGAACATTTTCATCTGGTCTTCTTAGGAAGTGGAAGTTTTCTGCTTTTCCAAGTACCGCTGTCTGTTGTTGGACCTGACTAGACCTGCTTTGTTAGGCTTCAACTAGCAAATTGAGCAGAATTTAATGACTAATCCATTTCCTTAGTAAATGGCACTGAGATTATGCGTCAATAGTAAATGATGTAAAAAACGGTAGTTTTCTTGGTAGCTACTACAGAATAACGTCAAAGCGTGCATCTTCACATGAATGTTTAGTATGTGTATTGGGCACAAAAAAAAAGAGCGGTGGAGAGACAGCAGAGAAGAAAATATTCCAGAAGTGAGCAGTATGTGGATCACAAACGATGCAATGATAATGTGTTTGCATTCTCAGTGTACATTTTACAAGTGTGTACAATAACAGGGTGTGGCAAAAATCACTTGACTATATCTTCTGCCTGAGAGCCCTTCTCCATCCTGCCTTGGGTCTTGTGATTGGCAGGGACAGTGACCAGTGAAGTTGTAAAACTCACGTGAGTGCTTAGTGAATAAGAAGAAAATCCCATCCATATTTGCTTGCAGATTAAAGTAATAATGGAAAGTGTTTAAACTTGAAGAAAGGATTTATTGAGAAGGATGAGTAGGGTAAAGCAATATTATGTTTTTTTCAGACTTAAGTGTTTTATTGAACAGTTCTTTCTGTGGTGGTTTCTGTGTGATAGATTGCAAATTAATTTGATTTCAGATAAACTTCAAAAACTGGGGTACAACCAAGAATATAGTGTATATATAATATAGTGTTTTTTCTTATGTTTATTTAGCTTGTAAGCAATATCTTGAGAAGTATGCTGTGGATTGTAAACGTCTGTGGGAAGTGCAGGCACCAGGATATTGGTTCCAGAGAACAAATGTTATGGCTATGTTGCAAAAGGAAAAGCTCAAAATTGCAGGTATAGATGCTTTTTTTTGTTGTTTTCTGGCACTTTGTAAATGTCAAACAAACACTCTGCAAGTTCAACAGTGACTTCTGTGAATGCTGCCCGTGGAAACTATTTGTCCTGAGATCTGTGAGATCCTATTTGGAATGATTAATTGCTATATAAAGGTACTAAAATTTTCAGTTTCCCTGTTTCCTCTTTTGAATCTTAACAGCAGAGGCCTTGCAGAACAAAAAGACTTTTGAAACAGAGGATCATTTTTCGCAGTCTACAGCAGTATCTGAAGCAAGTGAAGAGGAGACTCAGCTAAAAACACAGCCAAGTGTAGGTACACAGCCTGTCATCCATACATTACTGTGTTCAGTTTTGAGCCCCTCACTGCAAGAAAGACATGGAGGTGCTGGAGCGTGTCCAGAGAAGAGCAAAGAAGCTGCTGAAGGGTCTTGAGCACAAGTCTCATGAGGAGTGGCTGAGGAAACTGGGGTTGTTTAGCGTGGAGAAAAGGAGGCTGAGTGGAAACCTGATTGCTCTCTACAACTGCCTGAAACAAGGTTGTAGAGAGGTGGGGGTCGGTCTCTTTTCCCAAATAACAAGCAATAGGACAAGAGGAAATGGCCTCAAGTTGCACCAGGGGAGATTTAGATTGGATATAAGGAATATTGTCTTCACCAAAAGGGTTGTCAAGCATTGGAACAGGCTGCCTAGGGAAGTGGTTGAGTCACCATCCCTGGAGGTATTTAAAACATGTAGATGTGGTGCTTAGGGACGTTGTTTAGTGGCGGATTTGGCAGTGCTAGGTTAACAGTTGGACTTGATCTTAAGGATCTTTTCCAACCTAAACAATTCTATAATTAAAAAGACTTGAGACCTTTTATATAATGTTTCTTGTCCTATTCTTCTGACTTTAATTACCTGTTCTTAATGTTCAGTAAATACTGTAAATTTCTACAAAGAATACATTTCTGATCTTACGGATTTCAGCACATTAGTAAAGGTTGATCAATGTCATGTGTTGTCATGTGTGCTTGATATTTCTATTTCAAGTTCTCAAAGAACAGTACTGGATTATGCAGAGAGCTTGTACCTTCTGTATCTCTTGCAGCCAGTCTTGACAGAACCCATGGCTTTTACCAGAAAGTGATAACCTATTTTTTTTTTTATAGCTTTGTTACTTAAAAAAAAAAAGTATGATAAATGCTTTTTGTTCATCTTGTTATAATTGAATTGGCTCAAGTCTGGACTTACAAAAGCATTTGCCATATATATGTTACTTTTTTGGGTGGATGTTATTCTACCCACTGATATAACACCAATGACTAAGCTGGGGTTAAAAATACGACTTTTTTTTTTTGCAGGGTGGTGAGGTGTTCTGGTGAATATGGAGGGTCTGTGGCACAGCTGTCAGGGTCTCTAGTTTGAGCTGTGTACTAACAGCTTGGAGAAGGGGGAGTATTTCAACTGGCTCTGAGATTAAACTGTCTAGAAAGGCTGTTGAACAGTAGAATAATTGTAAGAGTGGAGAGAATGAGGAAAAGTTTTTGTAGGAATGCACATTCACATCACAGTTCAGTACAATGGAAAGAGTTTCATTTGCATTGATTCATACATTGTCCATGTACAAGGACTGCAGCTTTCTTTGTAGGTATTTGAAATATCAACAAGATTTCAGCTACATATGGGTGTGTGGTTGTGAATATCTTTGTGGCTTGAATATTATGAAGCTGTTCCTCTATCTCATTTGTGTTCTGAGCCCAGACAGAATGTGCTTGAGAATAACTCGTAGCTCCAAATACAGCGAGCATGGGTTTGTGTGCTTCAGGTCTGTCTGTAGTATTGGTATGACCATGCTTCCATGGAAGTCAATGCTTTAATTAAAATAGGAAATAATGGCTGAGTTGATACACTCAACTATTAGTATCCAAACTTTTTATTTGAAGTGTAAGTGAAAGATCCCTTTCCCAGTTGAGAAAATTATAATTTCCCAATGCAAAACTGACAGCAGCGATATTTTTAGTCTCTGAACAGAAGCAACAATTCCTAGTTGTTTTTCATTTGTAACAGTGTCTTGAGCATCATCACTGAGTTCTAGATTCAGATTCCAATAATGATCATATCGGCAAAATGATCTAAAAAAGTATGTTTTGGTTGTAGAACTATATGGATGTACTTGTAGAAGATAGCAGAGGGATGGTACTTCTCATGATTTTTGTTGCTGTGAGTTAAGAACTCAAGCTTTGTCTCTTGCCATTTTCTGGAACAGGAAGATGTTAGATCCAAAGTGCTCCAACTCTTCATTGCTTGGTAGAATTGATCGTAGCTCTCTTCTTGGCACCTGCACTATCTATAAGCAGTTCTGCAATGCTCTGAAAACTGTTGGACCACCAAACAAAATAAAACACCCTACCTTCACTCAAACCAGGGAAAAACATTTCCCAACTTTCACCTTTTGGTAATGCTCCCCGTTTTGTATGTTTTGATGCTAGAATAACCTGTCATTAGTCTACAAGTTCTTATTTATTTCAAACTCAATTGAAACTATTTCAAGCAGCAGAATCTAGATATGGCCACTTTTTGCTGGCATTCTTGGGTAGTACTGGAAGTGAGGCTGGAAAGGTGGCAAAACACCTGGATGCTGGTTATATTGCCTGTTCTAGATTACTTCCCACAGCTAAGAAAGAGAAATGTGCATAACTTTATTTTGAAGTGGGCAGCTTGTACCGACTTCAGAGTATCAACTGCTTGACCAGTGAGTCCTTACCTAACTTGAAAAAAAAAAAAGGAAATATTGGGATGGTGGGGAAGAACAAGAGGCAAAAGAGCTCTAGGGAGAGGGAACTCTGACATAAGCAGCCTCTTGTGCTGACTGTGCGTGTAACCTGCATTACTGCTGAATCATTAAGTTCTGTTTTTTCTTGTCTGATCTCTTTTTTTTTTTTTTTACATGGGCTGCCATATTCTGTTGCAAACCACAATAAAAATAAGACTAGAAAATAGAATACAAATTTAAAAATAACTTTCCTGTTAAATTTTGTCAGCTACTGTAGTGGAGTCCCTTGGGTTTATACAGAAAAGCAAAGTGAAAAAAAGAAACAACTTCTAGGGTTTCATTTGTGTGGATACCTGTTATAAACTGAATGGTTAGGAAAAAAAATTGGTAGTGTTGTTTATAATGACAGGTCTTATGTACTGTGTTGAGGCCATAAGGAAAATGCAGAAAAATATTCATCTGTGTAACAAAATAATAATTAAAAAAATCTGTTGAAAGATAAGATACATACACGTAAGTATCATAAATTAAGAATGTTTGTAACTGCTCTTCTGTAGGCTTATTACTTTGAAACAGTGAGTGCTTTAGAAAGATTTAGCCACAGATAGGGAGATGAAGGTATTTTAATCAATTCAGAAGTTTTTGGAATAATACTAGTTTTGCTTTTGCTTTACAGGCTGACTCTCAAAAAGGTAAAGAATCATTAGATGTCCGTGCAAGCACATCTAAAGGTAAAAATAACCTTGATTAACAGTATTGCGATTACTGAGGCTGAGTAGGTTAGCAGGCTCTTTTACTGCTTTCAATTTTACCATATTCATCTGCAAAGTGTATAAAAAAAACCCATGCCTTCCTCTAAGGTGCTGAGGTTCAACTCATAAATCTTTTAGAGGACTTGGGATAAAATTGTTAGGAATCTTGATAAAGATATTACGCATGTATGTTCAGAAAAAAAGTATCACAGTGAAATGTTGTTTTACTTGCACTCAGTTGCTTTAATGAAATACTAGGGGGGAGGATTGTATGCAAATTGTAGATTGCATTTGTTCACTTGCATTTATTTTGTTGATTTGTTTTTGGTTTTTTTTCCTAAGACCCTAACACGACTTCTGCTTCTGTTTGGACACGAAGCAGTCACTTAAAACGCCCCAGGATAAGAAAAAATACCCCAGAATCTCGATCAGAAACTTCCCAAGGAGTTGAGGAAAATGCTCTTCATGTGTCAGAAAGCAGGTAGAGGAGCCCATATTTTACTGTTTTTGTTTTGTTTTTTTTTTTTAACTTTGTTGCTTGGGAAGTCACAAACTACATCAGTGTCTCATAGTGTGCTACTGGGTATTTCTTCTCCTTTCTTCCTACTTTACTTGTTTGATTTTAAAATTACTCAAAATGAAGCCTGATACGAGAAAGAAAATTGAGACATTGCCTGAAGAGTGATTGCACCAAAATGTAGCATTTCTGAAACCTCGGCAGATACTGGAAATAACAGTAAGAAAACAGTGAAGGCTGAGGGTTATAACAATCTACATGAAGGTAAAAACATCTGTTTTTATTTATATTGACAATGCTATGTGTGATCTTTGGAGAGGTGTCCCTTCCTGACCTTTTGTTATAGTGGCATATTGCAGTAAAATAAAGCCTGGCTGTTTAGTTTGGGAGCTGGTTATTGCTTGTCACTTAACAAAAGAGTCATAGGGAGCCACCAGTCTTCAAAGTAAAGCCCTTTGTTTAGACAAATTCTGATTTAAACGAGTCATAATCCAAACTTACATCCTGGGGAAAAAGAGTCATTTCAGTTCAAAGGATGTTATCCTGTGTGATAATTTTCAAATGGGGATGTGAAGAATTGTGCCACTTGCATGCTGTAACAATTCATACAAGACAGGGCCTGAAGTACTAATTTGCACTGGCTTCCATCCAGAAAGCAGAACTGTGGCTATTTAAAATAAATAAATAAACGTCTCCTTCCTCCTCCTTACTGTGTGTGAGTATATGCATGCTTATAGACACACACTGCCCAGTTTCTCTGACCCCATGTCTCTCTCTCCCTCTCTCATTCTCTTCCAAAAAAACCCAATGCAACCCCAAAATCCTCTTTGAAGAACTGAAGATAACCTGATTATTTTTCTAGGAAATCCCTCAAACTTGTTCCATTAGGTTTCTTTAAACAAAATTAGTTGTGTGGGTTTGTTTTTGTTTTTTTTTTTTTCATGCGAAGCTGAGGTCATCAGCTAGATGCAGCCTAATTTTTGTGTTTAAATTGCTCTGTGGAACTACAAAGACACAGCACTGCTGTCCTGCACTGTCAGTGTGCAGCCCTAAGCTGGTTCAGACAGGCCAAAGGGCATGGTTTGATGCTGCCACAGGTTGAGAAATTCTTTGCCCTGTTACTACTACTAATTGGCTGGTTGGTGTGTAAGAGGACTAGCCTGTTATTGAATGCCAGTATTTTGGGCCTTGCAAAATGAAGTCAACAAGATGCCACTGCTACTTGGAACAAGGATGCGTAACGTGTGTTTGTGAGCAGAGCTAAGGGGAATCCTGGTGGCAGCAGGGTAGGATATCAACTTGGGTTCTCTCTTTCCATGCACATTAGCAAATGCAGCAGGGTCTTCTGTCAGGGACTTTCCCCTATGGCGTGCCTTCATTTCAAGACTAGCACCTGGACTAAAACACTCCAATACTGCCTTTACTACGAGATTGTGGAGCAGTCTCCTGCAAATCTATTGCATGTACTTCTTTCTTTGCTTGTATGTAATACTTCCAGTTCATCTGAGTTTTATCATCTCACAAATGAGAACTGGATGTTTGAGATAGTGTTAGTACCCATCAGGTGCATCAGATCTTAACTTAATCTCTAGCCGATTGATTCTTCAGCCATGATGCGTTCATTGCCTTGAGTTCTTTTCCAGTCATGGTCTTTGTAGTATATGTATATTCAATGATTACACAACATATTTGCTTTTATAATTCCATAATTTTAAAATGTTTCTACAGTAGGGATGGGTGAAGTTGCTTCCTTTCGCACCCCTTTGTGGCTTTCAAATATGTAATGGATTACTGCTTTCTACATTTAAAATGGCAAACACATTTCTAACTTTTATTCCCATAAAATGGAAGTGAGATAGATGTCTTCATTTTATAATTGCCCAAGCAAGTTTTCATAGTTGATGGGTTTTTTTTCCTGATGAGGAGTTAGCCATTTTCAGATGTATTTCGTTTTCTGGATTCTTATTTCTTATGGCAAGCATTTGATGCAGCACTTTATAACTGGTCATGAAGGAATTTCCCTGCTGAGATCACTGAAATTATGTATTAATCTAAAAGATTAAAGGATTTATCTTGATACTTGCTGCAGGCTGGAACTTCCTGCCCACACACCTGAAAGCTCTAAAGACCTAGTAGAAGTACCTGAGGAGAATACTATGGAGAAGGATGAGGATATGATTGTTGAAGATGAAGGCCAGTCCGTATTGGAAGCAGAGCTACATGTATCACCCCCTGAGAAACAGAGTGAGAAGGAGGTGAGCTGGATGTGATAGTGGATAAATTTGGAATACAACTACAGTTTCTGTTAAATATGGTCGTTGCTGCCTTGATCCATATGGGTATCAACTCTGATTTTTTTTTTTTTTTGTACTGATGCTTCATTGAGAAGTATATCTGAGAAGCTAAGGCTAGTATAGAACTAGTTTCAGGGAACATTCCGTTATACTTATTGTGAACCATAGACTTCATAGCATCCTCAGTAAGGTGAATTTGTAGCTTGTCTACCAGCCTAATTTTCTTAATTGATTTATCCTACTCACATGCTCCAGAGAACTGGAGTAAGGTAAAGATCTGATCCAGTATCTCCAATTTTAAAGAAAAAAAAAAAGTTTATTTGAAGAAGACAAGAGCTGGTATGCTTCAGTGACTACTGTTGGCTCTTCTTACTTCTCCACTTAAAGCTTGCTTTGACGTTTAAATCCAACTTTTAGCTACAACTTGTTAACAGCTTGAATTTAAATCTGTGAGTACCTTTTGTGCCTAGTGACGCCTCCAGGGTTTTATGTTCTTACTGATAGGTGAGAAAGTGGATCTTGCACTATGCTGGGTTCAAGGAATGTATGCTTGTGAGATGCATAAGAACTTCTTGGCTGGGGTCCTAATTGTGTAAGCTACGGTCAGAAATTTAGTGCAGGTGACAACACCAAGCTAATACGCTGGTTAAGTTAGCTTCTCTGCACTAAGCTCTGCCTTCTTAGGACACATTTCTGGGTACCCAAGCTATCTGCTTCTCATATTAAGCTGCAAATTTAGATCACAAATACACCCACTAGTATTGGGGGACAATTGCTGGGCATAATCTTGACTTAAAAATGCAATTTTTAGGAAACTCCATCAGAACCTCTTAATGGTGAGGTAACAGAAGAAACTGGTAAAACCTCACTTACAGCTGAAGAGGAAACAGCAAATGAAGTTGTAAGTGGTGAATTAAAATTGCAGTCTGAGAGTCAAGGAGAAGAGCCCTTAACACTGTTTGTTCCGTTAATCCTTGAGCCTCCAGCAAAACCTTCAGAAGACACTGTATCAGAGGTGAGAGAATTAAAACAAAATGTGCAGTCATCTTTCCTTCAGAGTGTACCTTTCTTGCTGTTTTTACTTTTTGTTAAGTAACAGATAGAAAGTAGCCCCTACCACCATATTAAATTCTGGGGAGAAGCAATTATTAGGTCAGATGATGTAAATCCATAAGCAGAATATTCTAATGTTTCTGTTTTAATTAGCAGAAGTGGAGTGTATATATATTCATGTGGTATTAAAAAGAAGGATATGTTGCTTCAGTGTGCCTTGGCAGTTAATGAAACAGACCCTTCTCACTAAAATACTAGTTGGATATGAGTGAAAAGCCACATCCTTATTTTGTCTAGTGATTCTGCCCTGTTAAGTGTACAAACAATTAATTACTGGTAAAATATCCACAGATTTTACTGGGTTTTGTTTATAGTGCAAAAGCAGATTGTTACATGTGAGCAAAATGATAATTGTATGTCTAAAATAAAAAACTTCTTTTTCCCTGGGATTAATTTCAGAGTGTTTTTACTGTACCTGAATAATTATTTGAATAATTTGAAAATAGGAGAGCAACTCTGGGTATCAAATGCAGTTCACAAAATAGTCTCATGCAAAAAGGAGGAAAGGACTGGTTTGTTGACTGTACATGTAGTACTAAAATCTGCTGAATGCCAAAATATCCTCCAAGGTTGCTAGCTAGGGGCAGTAGTTGTTCAGCTTCTTGTATCTTCAACTGATTGTCCCTTTGGTTGTTTTGGCACCCTTCCCTTCCTCTCACAGGTTTTAAATGCAAATGATTCAGAAGTGCTGACTGAAGAAAGTACATTAGTAAAGGAGGGGGGCACTGAAGAAGAGCAAGAATCTGACATCACTGAAAATGCAGCTGCTTCAGCATCTAAGGAAGAGCCCTCTGACAATGGCCTGCCCAACTCTGTGGTAAATGAAGCAGCAGAAGAATCTGTTTCTGAAAACGTATCACCCAAAACAGCTTCCTCATTGGAAGACCAAAATGAGGAAGCAGGGCACAACTCACAGGAGGCTCCTGTTACCTTGAGTCAGAGCTCTTTGATAGTGGTTGAACTTGAGGGTGTTTCTTTTCAGCAGCCTTCTGGACAGGAAGGACAGAAGAACCAGTTGGAAGAGCAGTCAGAAGAATCTGCTGAGCAAATAGATCAGTACGTGCAGACGGTAGTGGAGCGGGCTGCTGACAGCAGCTCTGAGGAAGCAGAAATTGAGGTACCCATTGTAGACCGGAGAAACTTGCGAAGAAAGGCCAAGGGCTACAAAGGTCCACCCAAGAAAAAAGGAAAGCCAGCTTAAAAATGAAATCCTGATTGTTAATTCATCTATTTATAAGAAAGTTATTATCTTACGTAAAACACTAGGGTGTAACTAAACCATCTGGGACATGGGACACAGGGGCTTAAAAAGCTGGGTTGGACTTCCTCTTGGGATCCATCGCCTTTCCTCAAGTTTTCTTGAATTTTTAACCAGTAGACATTGAGCTTTATCAGAGTAAGAAAGTAAACAGCCAGTCTCCTCCTTTTATAAACAATACATGCTGTATAAATACAGTTGCGCTAGCAAAGGGAACAGTTTGCATATTTAAGGTGGCAGTTGTGGAAGAAAAAATGCAGCGTGAAATCCTGACCCTATCAAGGTCCCTTAAATTCCCATAGACTTCCATTAGGCCAGACATCACTTTAGCACTCTTTTTTTTTTAGTAACTTTGTGTTCTCTACTGTGGAGAGAAGCAGAAAAAGAAAAAATCCTTCTCATTTCTTGTTCCCTCCCTGTAGATTTTCCCAGATGAGATTAAAATAATGTAAGATTCTCAAAATACACGAGAAGGTATAACTCAGTAGATCAAAATAACATAAGCAGCATGTCTTCATAGAATCAGTTGAAACAGCTGAGTGAGTAGAAGCATGGTCAACACAGTGTCTGCCATAGTGGACTCTGATGATGAAGTTCTTTATGTGAAGATTGAGATGTCTACACAGTAAACTGTAGATTGAAAAGCGACCATCTTGGTAAGCCTGTTTTTCTGGAGTGTATGGAATGTAGACTCCAGTGCATATGCTGACTGTTTGAACTGCCTTCCTAGCTGCTTGCATGTGTTGAGTGGAAACTTGATTACTTGTTACATTACAGGAAAAGGATATGACAACTTTTGATCTTGTTTTTGGTCTGAATGGAAATGGTGCTTGTGTTTTCCAAATACTTGGCTGTTGCTGTGGGGTAACTGTTAAATGTTGCGTCTGCCAGGTGTGTGACTCCTGTGAGTGCTGGCATTTCAGGTGGTTGTGACATTCATTAGTGTGAGTATTAGTGGGTGTTTCAGCAAATGCTTGTTTGCCAAACTTCTCTGCCTTCAGGAGTTAGCAGGTGGTTGCTTGCAAATACTTCCGATTACCACTTTCTTTTTCTTACTTGGGCGTAATCCCTGGGATGATAGCCTCCCAGTTCATAGCTTTTATTAAAAACAGCAACCAAACTTTGCTGTATGAAAACAGAAATAAAAACAGGCTTTTCATGCATTTTTCCCTTCAGTGGTTCTCCTGGCAAACCATATTTTATTTAATTTGGCACACGCAGAGTAAGTTACTCCTCAGTTTGCTATGTGTTTCTTTACATAAATGAAGCTTCTCTCATAATGGGTTAAAAACTCAGGAATAAGAACAAACAATGGTTCTAAGAACAGGAAATCACACCACTATTTGTCCTGCTATATGCCTTTTCTAAGATGAGTGAACTAGTCTCCCACAGTGTCTCAAAAATAGAGGTATCTAGAAATTGCTGCTCAGGACTTCTGAGTACAAGGTTTTCTTGAATAGTTGCATTGCTGTCTTTTATCCCTCTATGAAGCTAATGTAAGACTCTGGTTTTGGATTTTATGCTTTCACAGTTTAACTGTATTTATAAGATATTTTAACTGTATAAGATCCATTCGTACTACTTTCAGCTGATGAAGTACCATACTCCTTTTCAATCCATTAAGAGCAGTTTACAAGAGAGAAAAAAAAAAAAAGGCAGTTGTTAAGAAACGTATATTACCTAAACTTCAGATACCGGCGCATGGGATTACTGAGTTAAGTCTGGGTTTCTTGAACTATTGCACGTAGTTGTAACTTCCTATCAATGTAGATATAAGTACTCCTTATGAACCCCATGACTGGTAAATGTACAAGAGCTTTCATGATTGTTTGTAAGCATATTCAAGTGAACCTTGAGCATTTCTAAAACTAATCAAGCATTTTCTATAAAGCATATGAGACAAAACTTTTGTTATCTTCTGTGTGGCTTGTCTTTTACTACTAAGATTTCTTGTGTAAAAAAAAAATAAAATAAAAAGCTAGAAAACACATTGCATTGCTAAGGATTTGGGATTTGTGAGGGCTGGTGGCTTTAAAAAAAGGGCAGTTGAATGCAGTATATTCACAGAATGGTTAGGGTTGGAAGGGACCTCTGGAGATCATCTAGTCCAACCCCCCTGCCAGAGCAGGGTCACCTACAGCAGGTTGCACAGGACAGCGTCCAGGCGGGTTTTGAATGTCTTCAGAATCGGAGGCTCCACAACCTCTCTGGACAGCCTGTTCTGGTGCTCTGCCACCCTCAACATAAAGAAGTTCCTCCTCATAGTGAGATGGAACTTCCTATGCTCAAGTTTGTGCCTGTTACCTCTTGTCCTATCACTGGGCACCACTGAAAAAAACCTGTTCCCGTCCCTTTGGCACCCTCCCTTTAAGTATTTATAAGCATTGGTAAGATCCCCCCTCAGTCATCTTTTCTATAGACTGAAAAGACCCAAGTCCTTCAGCCTTTCATCATAAGAAAGATGCTCCGGTCCCCTCATCTTTGTAGCCCTTTGCTGGACCCTCTCCAGCAGTTCCCAGTTCTTGAACCTCTTGATTCATCCCAGGATGCCATTTGCCTTCTTGACCACCAGGGCACATTGCTGGCTCATGGTCATCCTTGCTGTCCACCAGGTCCCTTTCCACAGAGCTGCTCTCCAGGAGGTCAGCCCCCAACCTGTACTGATGCATGGGGTTATTCCTCCCCAGGTGCAGTAGCCTACACTTGCCCTTGTTAAATTTTACAAGGTTTCTCTCTGTCCAATTCTCCAGCCTGTCCAGGTCATGCTGAATGGCAGCACAGCCTTCTGGCGTTGTCAGCCACCCGTCCCAGTTTCGTGTCATCAGCAAACTTGCTGATAGTATGATCTATCCTTTCATCCAGGTCATTGATGAATATATTGAACAGGACTGTACCCAGTACTGACCCCTGAGGAACATCACTTGTTACTGACTTCCAACTAGCCTGCACCACTAACCATAACCCTCTGAGCTCTGTCAGCCACTGTTCAATCCACCCCACTGTCCATTCATCTAACCCACACTTTCTAAGCTTGCCTGTGTGGATGATGTGGGAGACGGTGTTGAAAGCCTCGCTGAAGTCAAGGTAGACAACATGCACTGCCCTCCCCTCATCTACCCCCATCCATCCAGTCATGCCATCATAGAAGGCTATCAGATTAGTCAGACCTGTGGCTTCCCTTTAGTGAATCCATGTTGACTACTTCTGATAACCTTCTTTTCCTCCAGATCCTTGGAGATGATGCCCAGAGTGAGCTGTTCCATCATCTTTCCAGGGATGGAGGTGAGTCTGACCAGCCTGTAGTCTTTCAGGTCATCCTTGCCCTTTTCAAAGACTGGAATGACATTGGCTTTCCTCCAGTCCTCAGGCACCTCATCTGTTCTCCAGGACCTTTCTTAGATGGAGAGTGGCTCAGCAATGACTTCTGCCACCTCCCTCAGCACTCGCGGGTGCATCCCATCAGGCCTTACGGACTTGTGGGTATCCAGTTTACCTAATTGTTCTCTAACTTGTTTGTCTTCAACCAAGGGAAAGTCTGCCCTCTTCCAGACTTTCTCTGTTACCTGCAAAGCCTGGGACTCCTGAGGACTGGCCCGAACAGTGAAGACAGAAGCAAAGGCAGCATTCAGCAGCTCTGCCTTCTCTGATCTGTTACCACAGCACCTGTCTCACTCAACAGCGGGCCCACATTTTCTCTAGTTTTCTTTTTGCTTCCTATATACTTAAAGAAACCTTTCCTATTACCTTGACGTCCCTCACCAGGTTCAATTGCAAGGCTGCCTTGGCTTTCCCCATTTCACCCCTGCATACCCTGACAGCACTCTTGCACTCTTCCTAAGTGGTCAGTCCCTTCTTCCACGTATTGTGGCTCATCTTATATTTTCAGAGCAAGCTTTACTGAAGATTAATATGCCAAATACTTCAATTGATACAAATGTATTCAGTTTCAAAAAGTCAAGGATTCTTTTGCTTATGAAAAGTGAGTCCCAGTTATTTCAATTAGTTCTGGATAGATTTTTGATACATACATTTATCGCTTGTATTCCCTGTGAAGTCAGAAAACAGTGTTCATGAGAAGGTAATGTCACTCATGTGGCTCTTACTTTTCATGGCTAAGCTGGAACTGATTTCAGTTAGTATCTTTCTTTTAAGACATTTGCATATTGAATCCATAAATGTTACGACAAGATTATTAGATTAGGTCAGTCTTGGTTTCTACTGAGAACAATCAAATTTCTGATCTCATTTCAGTGAGTCAGTTTTAAATACTGAACTTAAATGCACATCTCTAAGTGTATTCTTGAGTAGATACCTCTGTAAATGTGGGGTACCTGAGATAGTCAGCTGACGGACAGACTGTTAGGTACAGAATGTGGGTAGTTGGGGTGCAATTAGTAATTCTGTTAACCAGTGCAGTCTTGAAAACTGGACATTGTTGTAATTGTGATTGCAGCAGTACTTTGAACTAAAGGGTGCAGTTTACTTCTATAACAACTTCTTTGGCATCAATCATCTTGTAGTAAATAAAAAAATCAAAATACTGACTTTAAGTAATAGTTTTCATTGCTGTACTGATGTCCCATTGGAGCAGTAATTTAATGGGCTATGCCTTCTTCTATACTAATACAAGGGAACAATATATCCGACAACTGTATTGGCTGAAGTGTTTTACCTTGGGAAAACCAGTGGTTTTTAGGCTTGGACAATTTCAATTCTTTTTTTTTTTTCTGTTAACTGTCTGTCTTACTACCACCAAACTCTTAAAGAATTTTTAAGATCTTATTGCACCAGCAACCAATGATTAAAACATCAACTTTATACAAGTTTGTACCAAATGCTATTACAACGTGCTGTGGAACTACATGTGTACAGTGAAAGCAAGCAGTATTATTTTTGAGCTTTATTTAGTCTAGCAATAGAGTTTAAAGAGCATTAATTTGTGACTTCAGCTTTACACTTAAATGATAAATGGTTTTGTATTTGAATCCAACATTTGTTCAAATGTCTCTTGTATTGCTTGTTAATTTTTAACAGGATTTTTGCTTTGCTTCTCCCACAATCCTCTTTTGGTCTATTTTCATTTCATGCAGAATTCTTGTTTGCTGTTCTCATGTTTCATAGCCCTTTACATGAAAATGTATACATGTCTTATTTGAAAAGTGTTTAACTTATCTGAAATTATGTCTGACCTTGGTTTGTTGCTTTTTTATAGCATTTCATCTGTAGATGTCAGTAATCAAATTGATCATTTACAATGTCACCAGCACTACTAAGTTAAACATAGCAACAAATAGGTCTACGTTTCAGCTTCTCTGCTTTAAGTATCCATTCTATAAGGTTTATTTCCAAGAGGATACACTTCTAAATTTATTTTCACAAATGTGGTGTTAGATATTTTCTAAACTAGTGATACCCTGTTTATAAATCTTATAAAAGATGTGTTGCTGTTCTGAGTATGGTACTTAAGTCTTGTTACAGTGTTTTTCCTTTTTTAGTGCTGTCTTGGCTGCTTTTGAAATGTTTTGAAGTAGTAATTAAACTTATATTTTGTGATTATTTTTTTTATTGGTTTTCAGTATTTTGAGTTTTCTGCTATACAGGAGGTATGTTTTAAGGTGGTTCACTTCAGTTCACTAGAACTAAGCTCAAAAATGATTAATTGAAGAATCTTTATTGATTAAAACAATTTCCTGTACTTAATTAGCTTATGCATCAGACTTCTATAAAAAAAGCCTTAGAATAGGCTGTTCTGAATGTTACAGCTGTTTATACCAACTATGCAAGATGATGTAAACTTAGCAGTTATTAACATAGTTTGCTATAGACAAGCCAACTAGAAATGCTGTAACACACTCCCTACATCGTTCACAGAATTCACAGAATTGTTAGGGTTGGAAGGGACCTCTGGAGATCATCTAGTCCAACCCCCCTGCCAGAGCAGGGTCACCTACAGCACGTTACACAGGACAGCGTCCAGGCGGGTTTTGAATGTCTCCAGAGTGGGAGACTCCACCACCTCTCTGGGCAGCCTGTTCCAGTGCTCCACTACCCTCAAAGTAAAGAAGTTCCTTCTCATGTTAAGATGGAACTTCCTATGTTCAAGTTTATGCCCATTACCCCTCGTCCTATCACTGGGCGCCACTGAAAAAAGACTACTCCCATCCCCCTGGCATCCTCCCATTAAGTATTTGTAAGTATTAATAAGATCCCCCCTCAATCTTCTTTTCTCTAGACTAAAGAGACCCAAGTCCCTAAGCCTTTCTCCATAGGAGAGATGTTCCAATCCCCTAATCATCTTCGTTGCCCTTTGCTGGACCCTCTCCAGCAAAGGACAGTTCCCTGTCCTTCTTGAACTGGGGAGCCCAGAACTGGACACAGTACTCCAGATGCGGTCTCACCAGGGCAGAGTAGAGGGGGAGGATGACCTCCCTCGACCTGCTGGCCACACTCTTCTTGATGCACCCCAGGATGCCATTCGCCTTCTTGGCCGCCAGGGCACATTGCTGGCTCATGGTCATCCTGTTGTCCACCAGGACTCCCAGGTCCCTCTCCACAGAGCTGCTCTCCAGGAGGTCAGCCCCCAACCTGTACTGGTGCATGGGGTTATTCCTCCCCAGGTGCAGTACCCTACACTTACCCTTGTTGAACTTCATAAGGTTTCTTTCTGCCCAACTCTCCAGCCTGGCGAGGTCACGCTGTAAGGCAGCACAGCCTTCTGGCGTGTCATCGTGGTATATTAAAATGTCTTAAGTACAACAATTGTGTTATTCAGCCAACAAGTCATGTATTTATAGCACAAAATGTAGTAATGTTCTTGAGACAGCTGTAGAAAATTAAATTATTCTGTCCATGTTACTTGTTAATGTGCAGTAAAGGGTAAAGCAACAAGAACTTAAATGGAGGCTTATCTGTTTTGAAAAAATGCCTTCTCTCCAAGCAAACAATTTACAGGCTTGTGACCCTCTTTTAGTTTCAAATCACTACATGAAGTAGTAAAAATCATAGCAACATATTAAGTCTAGACTAGGGTGATGTGTTAAACTAACAAAATAGCCTGTAAGAGGAGAAGACTTTGGTATAGTTAAATACTGCCTCTTAGTGCAGATAGCACAAGAGAAGTTAGAAAGCTGGTACAAAAGCAGGTAGCTTGACTTCCTGGCCAGAATTCCAGATCTTGAAACATGATCTGGTCATGAAGACGATTCAAGAATTGGAGCATCTGTCATACAAGAGGCTGAGAGCTGCAATTCTTCAGCCTGGAGAAGAGAAAGCCTGGGAGGATCTTACCTTGGGTACAAATACCTGGGTGGGGGGGTATAAAGGAGATGGAGCAAGACACTTCTCAGTGGTGCCCAGTGACAGGACAAGAGGCAGTGGGCACAAACTAGAATACAGGAAATTCTCTTTAAATATAAAAGACCATTTTATATTAAATTTTATATTTATATAAATTAATATATATATTTATATAAACCATAAGAGTGGTCAAACACTGGATCAGGCTGCCCAGAGAAATGATGGAGTCTCCATCCTTGGAGATACTCAAAACCTGACTGAACATGGCCCTTGGACATGTAGTTGACTCTGCTTTAAGCAGGGGGCTTGCAACTACACAACCTCAAGAGGTCCCTTCCAACCCTAACTACTCGGTGATTCTACAACTTGCTACTCAACCTGCTTATTGAACATGTGACCATCTCTAGCCTGAAACTTTTGTAAATGCAAAAAAACACAATGCCAATCTATTCACATTCTGGCTTCTGAGAGTTTTGTTTGAAAATTTCCTTCTTACAATGTTGAAGGGTGAGACTATCCTCATAAACTGGAGAAAGTTTGTAAGGATTTGACTTGAAATTTACGTTAAAAGCTCCTTGCCTTGAAGTACTGTTTAAGAGTAGGAATATAAAATGGTGAGTATGCTTATTTGTAGTGGTAGATTGTGCTAAGTTTACCACCAAATTCGTGACTGGAAGATTACTGATGTAGTTGTATACAGCATTGCTGAAAGCTTCCAGTTAAGAAGCAGATTTTGTTTCCTGTATTTTGAGGATGCAAGCTAAATATAGATTGATCAGCTGATGCTTGTGACCTTTAGTTTTTCTTGAGTGTTTCTTAAAGCCACCAAAATAGCTACAAGTGATTGTATCAGGGTTGTCACACCATTTTCAAATTTCACACCTTAAACCCCTTACAACTTCATAAATTTAAACTTCTGAAGCTGTTCTCCTCTTGCCTGGAACTACTATAGCGGTACACTCTCCAGCCCCTATTCTTTCCACTAATGCAGTCGTGGAAGCAAAGGCGAGAAAGACATGAGTTAATGGGGTCAGGGGGAGAAAACAGCTGCCCTTTTAGGTATTTCCCCGCTGCTGCTGCTAACGTGTTCTCAAGCCCATGCTTCTGTAGGTGCAAGTATCAAAGTGAGTGGTTAATTTCTGATGTCAGTCTGCAGTAAGATTCTAGCTGCATTCTTCCAGCTCTTCTGCTTTCCCAGAAGCAGAATACAACAGTATGTTCATCTGTACCTTTAGCTGTTACAGTAGGCCATCATGTGAGACAGTGGCTGTATTTCCCATCACTAGGAATGTGAACTGAATTAGGTATTTAGAAGATATATCTAAGCCAGAAAACTGCTGCTGTAAAAATACAAAGAAGGTTTAGATCAAATCCGTACCATGTTAGCAAAACATGAAAATCGAGTCATTTTATTTGGACAGTGTTCAGCTGAACAAACACAAATACAAAACCCCAAACAGTTGTTTCTGGCACGTTTAAGTTCCTCACCAGCTTGTGGGGTCAATGTTCTTGATTGGTTGAAGGTTCCAGAGATCTTGCAAACTTGTTGAAACTGCACTGATTTTGCAGGAGCCCATGTCCAACGCTTAGTATCAAACAAAACTTAAACAAGTAGAACTGCATTAATACAGCCATCGTTTTCTGGATTGTTTGTTACTTGTGCATATTTCCCTGAAGAGAAAAGGCAATTAAATGTCTACAAAAGCTTGAAATAGTTCATATAATAAATTAGATTTTTCTATGTTTGAAAGT